TTGTTAAATAATTGTTCGTCGATACTTAAAACTTTAACAATTTATTTAATTAACTAAAAAATTTTGAAAGTAAGCCCAGACCAGACCAGGGTTAATGTTGCTGTAATGATGATATCGCATTTAGATTTATATTTTGTGGTTTCATTTGCGTTCATCGCATTCCACTTAAGTTTTAATTAATCGCTAAATATTACCGCAAATTTTACAATATTTGTCAAAAAAAAATAATTTGTTGAACAGACTTAAAAACACTTCATTAAGTACTTTGCTTTGAGATTTGATATTGAAATAAGAGTTGGTCTCTTTGTAATATTAATGTAAAGGCAAATCTTGCGGTTAAGTGTGCAATTAAATTTGATATTTTCATATTAATAATTCAATTAGTGAATAATGAGTCTATAACTGATGCTGTACACTTTTAATTATAATTTAATAATTGTAGTAAATTTTATACGAAACTATTTAAGTGCTTTTCTAATTTTAATGAATCGTATGCCTAAGTGGTTTTTGTTTACAAACAATAATAATACCATAATTAATTAATTTTTATTATTATTTAATTATTTTAAGTATTGGTTATGGTATAATTAATTATTTTAAATTTATTCGTAACATACCATGGTTACCATAACTATTTTGTATTCAAATATAACTTTAAAATCTTTAAAATTATTTTACTTCATGGTAATTCCACAGATAAGGACATTAGAAGTAATTTGTTAAATATATTTATTACGAAATATTGTTCAATTAATCATGGTTATTTTTTATATTAAACTCGTCTACTCGTAAATGATTTTTCTGTTTTATAAAAATACATATAAACACTATGTATGCCTTAATAATAAAAAAAAAGGTAACTTCTTTACCACACCGGAAATGAGCTAATTGATTTCATCATATCAGTGAAGTAAATACCAGTAAACACCTTTTAAGTAAAGTAATCATTTAATTAACTTCCTTGTATATGACTCATCCTTATCGTAATAGAAATTACGATTTTGATAAATTCCACTAAATCCTTGACAATGAAATGCCTACAAAACCTCTATCGATAAAGTTTTATCGTTAAGGATTTAAGAATTTATGTTGAATTATGAAAGCTATAAGAACCCTTTGTTGTTTTTATTTAAGTACTTTTATATTTACTTATACATTTTATGTGATTGAAGGAGTCCTGTAAATACACCAGTATGAGTGCATAAGATTATAGAAACAATCCTATAGAAACAATAAATATGAGTAAAGGTTAGGTTAGGTTGAAGAAGCACCCTTGTTTATCACAGCTCACTTCAACACAAATAATGACATGGTGTGATAGAACAGATGAGATACAGTTCTTAAGACAGACCTTAAAGGTAGTTGACTCAAATATTTAGCAACTTCCCCATTTAAGTAGAAAAAATTAATGTGACAATTTTATGAACTTTGCTATGTTTCTAATTTAAAAAGGTACCAGGTCAGTTAGAACCAGATAGGAGCCCCAAAAAGTTCGAATAAAATTTGATTATAAATCCTAGTCAATGATGAATACTGACATATAAATTGAAGTACAGTTTCCTCCTCATCCGTTAAAACACGCGCGCTTTAAATGTTGTTAGAAAGTAAATCAAATATACCTTCCTAATACACATTAACCAGGCAGCATGTATTTAGTAAGACTGATTTGGTTCCGTAGTAGTCGGAAGAAGCTGCTTAAAATGAATTGTCTTCAATTTGCACCATGAGTATAAGGATCAGTATATAAAATTACTTATAGTATATAACGCATTTACTAACGTCTAAGTGCATATTTAAGCGTTTGAATAAGATTTTCAAGAAATATAAACAAATTTTTCATCAAATACAAAAGTTCTCCACTTATTCCTCAATGTACATCCTGCCAATCTTTCAACCACACAAAAAACTTCTGCTCAAAAGTCCCACGCTGCGTTAAATGCACAGGCTTGCATAGCACGAGTGACTGCCCCAAACCTGCTGAAGAAATACCGAAATGCTGCAATTGTGGTGAATCTCACACAGCTAACTACCGAGGATGTATAGTTGCCAAGCAACTCCAAAAAATTAGGGATACACAAAGAAAACGAAATCCTCAATTTACTAGTAATGTAGATGCTGCGGATACAGCAATGCATACGCAAAAAAGTAATCAAACTTTCGCTCAAGTTCTGAAAAGTGGTTCTACCGAGTTACCATCGACTCAAGACACTAATAGCTTACTATTAAAAATCCTGGACAAACTTAATGCTCAGGAAACTTTTAATAAGCAACTTGAGAGCCGCCTTCAACTCCTTGAAAAGAGTACAAAAATCCAACATGTCTAAACTTACCAAGATTATGCTTTGGAACGCCAACGGGTTGTTTCAACACAAAAATGAACTAGAAGTGGTCCTCAAAACTGAGAACATAGATATATGCCTTATCGCAGAAACCCACCTCACGAACCAATCATATTTCAATATAAATGGTTATGATGTGTACCACGCAACTCATCCAAACAACTGTGCCCGTGGAGGCAGTGCTGTCATAATCAAAACGAATATTAAACATTATGAATACTGCAAGCTGTCATCTGATGAATTCCAAATGGTAGCAGTTAATGTGGAATTCCAGTACCAAGTCTTGAATGTTGCTGCATTGTACAGTCCACCAAGACACTCTGTCAAGTCCTCACAATATGAAATACTCTTTAAACACTTAGGCGAAAAATTCATCATCGGAGGAGACTTTAACGCAAAAAACACACATTGGGGTTCACGCCTCACAACAACCAAAGGAAGAGAACTTCTGAAAGCAGCGAACAGTATGCATTGTGACTTTTTAACTAGTGGAACGCCAACATACTGGCCCACTGATTCGTCCAAGATTCCTGATCTTATTGATTTCTTCATTACACGTAAAATTGCACCCACATATGCCCAAGTGAATACTATGTACGACCTCAATTCAGATCATTCTCCGGTTATTCTAGTTTTGGGACAACAAATGACCAAAAAACTTCCGTCACCCTACCTAACTAACAAATATACTGACTGGAGTTATTTTAAAGACATACTCGAGGCCGAAAATTATCTTCACAGTGTACTTGAAACTGTCGATGAAATTGAACTAGAAACCCTCAAAATCACGCAGACAATACAACGTGCAGCATGGAGTTGCACCCCATCCATTCAACGACATAATCACGCTATCAACTTTCCTAATGAAATCGTATCAACTCTTCGGACGAAACGTTTTCTGCGTCGTAAATGGCAGCAATCACGATCTCCAACAGATAAAGCGGCACTAAACCGTATAACACAAAAGCTACGACGGAGAATTAAGCTTTTCAAAAATAGCTCGTTTAATAATTACCTTTCTCAGCTTTCAGATAAAAAAACGTCAGATTACTCTCTTTGGAAATGTACAAATAAATTAAAAAGACCCATCAGCCACATCCCAGCTGTACGAGCTAACAACAGTAAATGGGCCCGAAGTGACTTAGACAAGGCAAACGTTTTTGCTGAATATCTTGAGGAATCATTTACGCCTAACTGCGGTCAAGATGACGAAACTTATGACGAAACAGACAATCGTTTGATTTTAGAACCTGAGGTTCAGATCCGTCCTGTTACTCCAATAGAGCTAGAACAGGAAATTCAAAAGCTGAAAAATAAAAAATCGCCAGGTTTTGACCTCATCACCGCCGAGGTGTTAAAAAAGGTTCCTAATAACATAGTTCTAAGGCTTACTAATTTATTCAATTCGTGCATTCTATTAAAGTACATTCCGAGTCTTTGGAAAGTAGCCGATGTTATAATGATTCTCAAATCCGGGAAGCCAGCGCCTGAGGTCTCATCGTATAGACCAATTTCGCTTCTACCAGTATTATCAAAACTGCTCGAAAAAATTATTGTTAAACGTCTTAACAAACTTATTGAGGACAGAAAATTGATCCCAGACCATCAATTCGGATTTAGAAATAAACATTCTACAATCGATCAAATTCACCGAATTACCAATGTAATTGAACAAGCCTTGGAAGGAAATAAAGTTTGCTCTGCTGTTTTTCTTGATGTAGCCAAAGCATTTGACAAAGTATGGCACAATGGTCTTATGTTAAAGCTGCGAAGCACGCTCCCTAAACAATATTGCGATCTCTTGGAATCCTATTTGACTGACAGATTCTTCCGAATCAAACAAAATGACATTACATCTGAGCTGAAAACAATCAAAGCTGGGGTGCCGCAAGGTAGTATTCTTGGCCCAACTCTCTATTTAATATTCATAGCCGATCTCCCTTCTGCGCTGGATGTTTGTACTGCTACCTTTGCAGATGACACAGCTCTTCTGAGTATTGGTTCAGACGTTGATGATTCAACTAACACACTTCAGGCTACGATTTCTG